CATTGTCATTACCCATTCAGGCTAGGCACAAAAAACTTCATACTATTGAATAGGCATCAATGACTGCAGTGAAACTTCTAGGCATCAGAAAAGATTAAAATAACACCTTAAAAAACTGCAGAAAAATCGCCCTGAGTGATTTCTTGGTCTCATTTTATTTTAAACCCAAACTGCACTTTAACGACCAAGGGCAAATTTAAGACAGAATCCGGTAATTTCCTTTTCAGGAACATCCATGTCCTGTGGGGTCTGAACAAATTATGCAGGTTTTTTGTGTGCCACATACTTTAGCGTACCTCAAAAGTGTGTCTGCATATTATTATGTTCTGATGGCAAGTAGATGCCACACAAGACAAGACTGTGTGTAATACTGATTCTTTTGTTTTATTACAATATACGAGTAGAGTTTTGAACCGAGTGTGACATGCAAAATTACCACCGGTGACTCCTTCCATACTTTCCAATCACAAAAGAAGTTACCTAGTTAAAGCTTGGTAACATCACACCATCTTTATTCATATGAAACCCATATCTCACGCAATTAATTATGCACGGTGTAGGGTTCTAACATGCACTCTTTATTGTCTTCATGACACGGTGGTGTTGAACTTTTTGTGCAATTTACATTTTAATATATGTTATAACAATGTAAGAACACAAAACATCTTACCTCTTAACGTCTTGCTGCACTCTTACCTCTTAACGTCTTGCTTCACGTGCAATCGAAACATGGTGATCCTCAATTGTTTCTGTTGGATTCGATTGCATCTGCATCGACCTGGATCTGTCTAGCAACCTACTGAGATGGTAAACTTCAGAACCTATGAATCAAATTTGGCAATTAGTATGCTTGAATTTCAATCTCAAACTAATCCGATTTTTAGCATTGTTTACAGGCACCAAGTCTTATTGAAATGCAATACTGTAAAATAACTAATTTTCACTGGGTTTAAATTTTACTAATTTACCATTTCAGACATACATGTATTCAGTGGGTTTTAAATTCACGGTTTTATCATTTAGATAATGTGTTCTATGCTAAATTTTACATATTCACTGGGTTTTTAATTTAGCGCATTTTCCAGTCAGCAAAATAAGCAAAATTAAAACCTGGTGAATATTAACCCTTTTACAGTAATTGGTTTTTGAAGATTGGTAGAAAATTAAGCAATTACTATGCAAATAACAATTATAGTTCACTGTGTGACAGATTGGTGGGAATATTATTTTTCAGGAAAATAATATTGCAAAATTAGTTTATTTCCACAACACTTTTACAATGAAGAAACAGAAATCGACAAAAAAAATACACAATTTACTACGTTTAATTACCCACCATGGACTCCGGTCACAGGGGATGGCCGCGCTCTTGAAATATTTCAGCAGTTCCGTAAGAAACAATCCAAAACGCCTCGAGAGCAGAGTTGCGACCCTTAACTTTTGAGTTTGTGGCCGGCACCCTGAAACGCATTGTTTTGCGCCTTCTGCACTCAGAAGTCTCAAAGGCGGACCCACCAGCCTCCTAGTCCAACAGTGGTGGAACGCCGGACGGCTGAGATTTCCTGCAGTGTCATCTGGCACTTGTGGCAGGGGCTGTCTCTGTGCAGCAGCATGCTGTTTTGGCTGGCGAACTGGGGTGCGTCTTCACTTCACTTGTGCAGACTGAACCTCCTCTACCCTCTTTGATTTGAAGATAGAGGGAGCAGTCTTGGTGCTTTGGGATACCACCGACCAGTTGGTAAAGGTGAAACCCGCGAACCAGTTTGGCTGCTGCCAAGGGCAAGCGGAAAGAACCCCAAGCTGAGAAAACGTAATGACCAAAGCCGGCACCCAGCCAGGAGGCAATTGTCCCTGCTCCTTCGGGGGAGGGAAGAGTTGCAGCACGCCCCCCATGAAGAAGGGATCAGGTGGTTACCCTATGGTTACAAGATTCTGCTGCGATCTCCACCTCCCCTGTCAACAGACCCCCCCCCGAAGTGCTGCCAGGGGATCCCCGTAAAACAAGTAATCCGACAGGAGGTAGACAGTTTGCTTACAAAGGGCGCTTATACACAGGATAGAGGACCCAGCGATGAGTCTAGGCTTCTACTCACAAGTGTTTGTGGTTCCAAAGGGCGTCAGTACACATCAACCCGTACCTAGACGACTGGTTGCTACACAACCAAAACAAGTGGTAGTTGGCCGAGCAAGTAAGGCTAACACAAGATTTACTACACCAGTTGGGCTTCCTAGTAAATTCCTAGTAAATCAAGAAAAGTCCAATCCACACCCAACACAGCAGTTGGTGTTTCTGGGCATGGAGGCGGGCTTGGTACGGCTAACGCAGAGTCGTTGCCTAGCACTAAGTGACCTGGCCAAACGTCTCGTCAATGTTCCCTCTGTGTCTCTCTGAGAGCTGATGTGTATCATCGGAATGATGACATCAGTTCACAGGGTACATTGTAGTTCCCCCAAGCTGCACTACACAGCTGCCAGGTACAGTGCATTTTGTTGTAACACCGGTCTCACCTACGGGAACTGCAGAGATGAGTAACTCTCTTGGACCTAGCGAGGGATGCCTTGCCCTGGTGGTTGGCGATTGCCAACTTAAGACACGGGGTCTCGCCACAGCTATGACTCTGATAACAGATGCCTCCTGACAGGTTACGAACTGCACAAAGATACACTTTCCACCCATAGTTCGAGGCCACAGAGTCTTGCTTTGCACAGACAACACAGCGGTGGTCTCGTATATCAACAAGGAGGGGGAACTAGATCCCCATCGCTGTCAGTTCTTGTGGAGCGAATTCTCCTTTAGTGCCCAGAATACAATGTGGAGCCCTCGGCAACTTCGTTTCTAGAACGCAGAGTGGCAGATACTGTTTCAGCTGTGGGACGGTCCAAAGATAGACCTATTTGTCACACCCCAGAATCCCAAGCTCCCAACATAATAATAATAATTATCTTTATTGCGTTTGTATCTCTATTAGGATTTTGACTAAAATGCAATGCAGATGTAAATAAAGACAAACAAACAATTAAAGTGAGAATAAAAATACACACAGGAAAAGGAAAAAAAAAACAAAAAAACTGACAAGCAAATAAAAGTAGAAAAACAAACAAGGCATGCATGGCACAGTCCCTGTTAGTTATCAAATTTAAGATAAATAAAATGTTTATAGTAATATAGTTGGAATATAACCATGTCAGGAATATGATTATGATGATTGTTTAACATTAAAACGGTTGACATTTGTATCATTTGTAACCAGTACTTGTCCACATTGAGAGATATTGTTCTGGAACAGCATTATTTAAAACAAATACATGTATATATCTATAACATGATGTATAATGATATATAAAATTTGAACATAATCAGTCAAAGCATGTCAGAAATATGGCCCTAGAAGCCCATTCATTAAAACAAAATGGCCGCCAGTCAGCCATTTTGAATCTTATCTGAAAAACAAAGATGTGCATCAAGGTCCTATAATGTCCAATGTAAGTAAAGTAAAGTAAATAACTTAATTGATTTTGTATCCTTATTGGGATCTTGAAAATAATACAATAAAGAATGTTGTTCAAATAGACAACAGCTAGCTAAAACAGTAACAAAATAAAGTAAACAATTAGAAAATTACATCAATAACTAAAACAGAACAAAAGTAAAAAAAAAAATACAAGAAATGTAAAATTGAGTGATTATTTTGGGGTAGCTGGTGGTTTTTTCAG